AGAAAGGGTATTACTCACAGTAGTTTTTACCCGTGACGAGAACAGTATCAATATATTTGTATATATATATATATATATATATATATGGACTACTCGTAGCGAAAGTATTATCAATATCAGTTTCCATTATTTGGCGCAAATATTACAAACACAGCTTTATTCATAGGATGAAACATCACGAATACTGGATTATATTTGTTAGCAAACGTATTAGCTTTAGCATTGTTTGCTTGTGGGCGACAACATTACCCATATCAGTTTTTACTGGCAGACGATGACAAATAACAATATTCACTTCTGGTGGTGGGTAGAGATAGTTTTGTGAATACCTTATATTCGAATTAAAATATACTGAACACTTATATATAAAGTAAAATTTGTAACTATAATAGATTCTAAGAAAACCTAAGATAAATAGTTGAAACTATAATCAGAGCTTACACCCTGCAAATAACAACTAAAGAATAGTCACAATTTATAATACTATATATATAACAATGAAAATATCGCTATTTTCAAATCCTGTCAAAAAAAAATCAGGTAAATCAGTGATCTGATGATCAGTCATGTTATCTAACATGCCTAAGAACGGTTCTTCAACTATATTCTGTATCATGGTTTCACTCTTCGTCTGTCAGCTGTCACTTGGAAGTGAGTTACAGAATTTAAATTGATCTAAACTGCTCATGACTGTAAAGAAAGCATTTAGACGTTACACGTATATAGAGGAAAATCGGCCAAAACGGAGTCAGCCAACAGAATTGTTGCCTGATGCCCTTTGAGGAGTGCACATCAAGGCACAAAACGGTAATAGTATTAATAACACATTCTGTTGACAAACAACATTTATGGCAGGTTTAAGAACTTAAATGGACTGCAACTGCCAGTTTAAAGAAAGGAAGAAGACGTTTCGGTTTCTATACTGAAGCATTCTTCAGTATAGGTCTCATTATAGAAGGCGAAACGTTGTCTTCTTTTCTTTCAGCAAGCAGATGCATTCCATTAATGTTTTCAAACCTACTATGTCTAATTTGTCTATAGCTCCACTAAAAAAGATTTAGAGCAATTTCTCTTTTTATGGATGTGTCACACCTCATTATGATACCAAATATCACGATATATTAACCTGAAGTGAAGCTAGACCCAGAATTAACAATATTTTCTTTGAAGAAGAGATAATCGACCGAATAGTGTCTCGAATCTTCTCAGGACTTCAATCTTATCGAGCATTCATGGAATTCTCTCGAAAACAAACATGTCGCACCAATTTCAATCGCCACCAGACCGAAAAAACGCTTGAATCGGCTCTTTCAGAGAGGTAATCGAAGATGTCTCAGAAATTTAACAGGATTCTGAGCTTAAGTGTACAACATCAGTTCAGGTGCCATTGCTGTTTGCTGAGACTATACTTCATATTGAGGTGAAATACTATGACTGTAAAGAGTTGAAGCCAATTCTACCAAACATATGAAAACATAGACTGAATGACTAATAGTTTGCATTTCAAGTCAGGTTAAATATCATCGTATACCTGAATGACATAAAATGAACTGAAGAGGTGATTACCATCCATTTATAATAGTACTTTTGCCTCGTATTAAAAAAAATATATTGAAAATTCCAATCATTCTTTAATTGTTTTTATGTATTCTTAACAAGCTACATTGTTAACAGCAGGAAAATATTTCGGGTTCTCCTTCAAATTGCATTCAAATATGTTTTAAAGTAATCAAACTAATTTCTCTCAGGGACTCTTGGCTGGTCGAGGGACATTCTAGACATAGTTTCAAACTACTTTTGAACACTTGTGCATTATATAATCATGAAAGAGGTATGATGCTTCTCATGAATTCACTCACTGCAGACAGAACAACACAGCCTAGCATGACTTCCTTAGTTATTACCACACTCCTTTTCGCTCTTGAGGTAATAACGACATATTCAAAATTCCTTGTCATTGAAGATAGACCCATCAATCGGAAATGAGATTCATTTTTTCATATGGTGTTGCGTTAATTTCATCGTTCTTCACCCCAGTTTCAATTCTTCAGTCAATATGAGAGTTGGTTTTCAGCGTTCATAGCTACGATGCTGCTTGTATGTGAAATTCAACATTGCTGAACTTCCAACATGTAGTAAATGTGCTGGCTGCAGTTCTGAACTGTAATTATAGGCCTGGGGAATCAATTTAGTGCAGGATATGCAGTTTCCTTTCACAATACATTTTATTTCAATGAACTGAGAAGTAATCAATTTTCGGGTGGCAGAACTGGTACTTATAGTCCACATCAACGTTTCCAGTGGTCTTCCATATCTTCAATACATTTTTTATATTGAAACTGAATGTAAGTAAGAGGGCTGACATGCTATGAACCTTTATACTGCTAAGATTGCAACTAATATTCATTCCTCTTTGATAGTCCATTAGTTACTTTCCTTATTGCATCTTGTCGATAAGTGGTTGACTGTGACAGCTGCTTATCTTTATAAACCCTACTTAGGAGTGTATCACGGTACTTGCATGCATTTCCATTAGTTTTTGAGGTGTAATGCTTTTGTTAATACACCGACACGCACTTATATACAAATGTTACCAATAAGTAAACAGACATCCCAGAGTATACAAATAGGTCATTTACAAAATGATATAAGCAAATAACCCGGCATATAAATTTAGGAATAACTCAATAAAGACCAAAAACTACAAACAGCCATGCTGCAAACGTAAGGATTCAGGAAATCATCCATATTTTCACAAGACCACCTAGATGGACGATGCTGGATTGGTGAAAGTCAGCAATAAATCGCTTGGCTATGTTCACTACCACTGTCCACAATGAATAGGGTAGAAATGCAGTTTTCAAGTCACGTCAGAAAACAATAGTTCAGACATCCAAAATCAACAGAACGGATTCTTTATGGTATGAGAAATGCGAAGAATGACCCACGTCAAATGGTCGATGCTGTTATATGAAATTTTCAAGTCAGAACCAATAACAACAGGTGTTATCTTCATAGTATGGGATACAATGGCAGAGTAGCTCGATGGAACCCATTTATTATCATAGACAAAACTGTACGTCGTCAATACTGGCTGTTATAGACGTTATCACATCCTCCTGCCTTTTTTCCAACAATCCCGAATTTTCGTATTTCTCTGACAATGGCCACACCTGCGTTTGATCTCTATCCTCTTAGAAACCCACAAGCCAAGACAAAATGTAGGGATCTTTTTATTATGGTGCCATTTTAGCCGCTGGTGATATGTGAAGGGTGATCTCTACTTTTTGATACACCATAATTCTTGAGCAAGGCTTTCTATTTGTCTACGTCAATGTCAAGCTTACCAGAAAAAGCAGTACTTTCGTGCAAAATAGGGTTCTTTCTCAAAACTTGTGAATAACAAAACAATAGCTTGAAGATCAGAGCATTGGCATTCTTCCGTGTCCAATTCAACTCAGTGCTGTTCTTGTCATGTTTTTTTTTTTCTCGCTGAAGCCAATAATGAGTTCGTCAATTTGTTTGTATGTATGAATTAATTCTATAATCTCCAATTAATCTATACATATTTTTATATATGTCTCGAAGCACCTATTCCGACATACATTATAACATAGTTAACCAATACTTTCAAAATATTTTTTAACTAAACACGTTTACCTTTTTACTTTTTCTTTTTTTTTGATTCGATCGTAAATCACTGATGAAAGCATAAGGTATTCGTACGAGTACAAGAATATTTCTGTTTGTGATTGTATTTTTTATTTTCGTAATACATTAAGAAGCGTATATCCATTTCTTTTCTACGTATTCAATTTTTCTATGACCACAATTGTAAACAACTCTTAATTTAAAATTTATAGATGGTTGGATAGATAATTCTGCAAACGTATCCAATATTTTCGTGCTAATGACACTTTTTGTTTTCTTCTCTACAATAAACACCATACAATGCTTCAGAGATTTAGAATATAGATAGTATTACTCATAACAATTAATTCAGTAGTACTTTAACTTTAATTAAACTTGAAAACATTACACTTTCTGGTCGATTTGTATTTGGCATGACACAGTAGAGGGCAATCATGACATCATTTAAATCGTTTGAACCATATAGAAAAATAAAGACCAAAGTTTTGAAAACGTAAAGTTAATGCAGACTCGAGATGTATTTCTCATTAAATGTTTTTCTTATAGTATATTCGATAACTCTTAATGAACGACAAAAAAAATTTACAAAAAGTGTTAACATTAAAATTCTGTAACTAAATGAGAGTTGCAAATTCGAGCTTTATCAGTTTTCATTGGCCAAACTAGGCTATTTTGTGGTTACATAGCTAACAGCTATTGATATATATTATTTTGTATCTACAGTTTAAATGATTTAATTCTTTATGGGTGATTTCAATATAAGATTTTAACGTTTGCTTTAAACCACTAACCAAACTCAACTGATATTACGTATGTGCATAAATATTGATAGTTGTTTCTACAAGGGAATAAGGAACAAAAGTTGTTCAACAGAATTTGCATAAAAGTAATCATCAACCGGAACAGAGTGGCCAAAATTATGAGGGTAATTTTCAGTAGTGACCAGAAATTATAAGCGTAATTAAGGATAACGAAAGTCTTGTTCCTCTAATGACTCTGCAGCTTAAAAAGACGTTAAGGGCCAACTGTTCACATGTGATCTTAGGCATTCTTTGTAGATTGAATATGAATTAACTTTTTATAGCGCAATTTAAGCTGACAGAGAAATTATGAAATATTTACTTGCTTAAAAATTAAAAAACAAAAAAACAACAGCAACCTACGTTTGCAAATTAAAGATATATAAAGAATTAATTTTCTCCATACAGATCCGTCTATCAGTTGCCCACTCCTGAATTTGCTCTCATATTTCCAAACGAACGTCCGCGATCATCTACTTTAGTCCATAGACGCAACATCAAGGATACATTAAGACTCAGAAGTGGCGGGAATGCGTTTTTTCACTGCGCATGTCTTACAGGAAGATAATAATAAAATACAATCATGGCAGCATTCCGTAGGCGAGGGAACATATGTACAGGCGCTCGCGATGGAAGGAGAGCGAAACCTGATACCTGTGATATGTTATCCTCTCACTTTTCACCATTTTAGACGAGGTTCTCCTGTGAAGAGCCCATAGCCGGGCCAATCGGTCCAAGTTGCCGCCACAGAAAAGGGAGGTCGTCAAAACACAGCTGCCCACGACAACCCTGCTGCAGTGCTAGGGATGAACGGCTCTGAAACTTCACGTAAACGTCGTCGGATGCGTTGGGAAGCCGGGGAACCGAGTAGTGTGCCCATCAAGCGAGAATCTGAAGAAGATATAAAGGTAAACTATCTAGCGTAGTAACAAAAAAAAGTACTACTATATACAACCTCTTTGAATTTGCAAACTACTTAATACATATAACATAAGATTAGGTTTAATCACGTTTAGCTTTGTAAACACCTAGTAACAGAGTCGGCCTTAGCCACTACGGGACCTTAGACAAGGTACAATGTGCGAAGCAACATAAAATGTGTGATGGAAATTGTATAACAGAACGATGTAGGGTATCTGTTAGTGGGTCAACCGTATGTTTTGTTGTTTTGAGGGGGTTGCAGCTTCTCCTTTAAGAATTACTCATAAAATATATCTATGCAGGTCCTGTAAGAAGCCTTAGGTAGCTGCCTGCCTTGCTTAATTTAAGGTCAGCTCTTCTAGTAATACTACAAATATTTGTTAATCTAGGCTGCTTGAAGTTGTGGTCCAAGTAATAATATAACAAGCATCAGTAGATCTAAACCGGTCGGAGGCATAAAGTCAGTTTAGTGATACCTTGTGTCTAACTGTAAACTGATTGGATGTATAGTCTGCATATCAATACGCCAAATCTGTTTGGAGATGTATTCCGCCTAGTGATTCATGAGTATATAGCGATCAAGGTCGAGCTGCAATTCAGAAATATTAATATATCTAAATTGATTAAAGACGTTACCCGTTTAGTCACACTTCATGTTTATAAAAATTGAGCTATTTAGAAAAGCAGTAAGTGAACTGGTATCAAAAGTATCAATCCATCATACACACTTGGATAAATCCCACTTATGACTTCACTAATATCAATAGATCAAGTGATTTCGGAGATGAAGTCTGCTTAGTATATTGATATAAGTTTCATCTAGTTTATTCGAATCTTCAGCCCACATACTGATTCCATAAACATCAATAGAGCTAATTTGTTCGGATTTACTTTCTGCGTTATTGTTATCACAAATTTTAACTGACAAAATCTGGCTATAGATGTAGTCCGCTTAAAGACATCCTACATATGAATAGATCATATGTATTGGAAAACGTAATAAATGTAGCGACATCAAAGTTAGCTACACAGCAGAAGTGGAATTCATCTAGAGAACAGATGTATGTATAAAATAGTTATCATAAGAGTCAATAGATGTCACCAATATGGAAATGTAACAAGCATAAGTGAGCTCTAATGTAATCAAAAAGTCTATGAAAATTCTTAAGAGGAATGTGTAACCCTAGTGAATTAGTTCTAATGACGCTGTATTAATCAATAGAGCTCTGGCCAATATAAAAGACCAAGTTGCAAGAGTTACCTTCAGTGACAACCCAAACAAGTAGATATTGCTTTCACGGAAATATAACCCAAGTGAGTTATTTATAATGACTCTGGAAAATAAATAAATTATGCCAACTTAATTTTTAGTCTGCATAAGTTATGTTTAAAGAAACCGTAAGAATCGTTAGATCTTTTGCTTATGCGGAAGTGGAATCCACGTAGGTATACTCTAGGAAGAATATATAGTCTCTTGTAGGTGCACTATGCTGTGAAACACACTAAGAACCAATAGTCCTTGTTTACATACGGGGGTAGTCCACTTAGTAATGTCATCACAATGGATAGACCTAGTTTACTTGTAGATTGTTGTCCATTAAAGTAATATATTAAGACTCATAAGATTTAATTAGCGAAATACACCAAAAGACTCAATTTGTCATGTCACTTTTCATATACGTATAGTTTTGATAGTAACGCAGGAGTAGGTTAATCTTACCTTTAGTACACTGGATCAAAAAATAAGTGTCAACTGATCATTCCTGTTTGGAGGTGTAGTCCTTTTGTTGGTAACATATTAAAGTCAAGTGATCCTCACTTGGGAATGCAGTCCGCTGGGTGATAACATGAGAACCAACTGATCATGCCTGCCTCGTGGTGTTCATTTGATAATACCCTATGACTCAACTAGTCATGATTGTTAGTAGTAAAGATATCAAATGATCATGACTTTTATAGTTGCAGTCTGCTTAATGGTAGTAAAGATAGTAACTGATCATGGCTGTTTATACTTGCAGTCTGCTTAATGGTAGTAAAGATAGTAACTGATCATGGCTGTTTATACTTGCAGTCTGCTTAATGGTAGTAAATATAGTAACTGATCATGGCTGTTTATACTTGCAGTCTGCTTAATGGTAGTAAAGATAGTAACTGATCATGGCTATTTATACTTGCAGTCTGCTTAACGGTAGTAAAGATATTAACTGATCATGACTTTGAAATGTAGTTCGCTTGGTCATAACAACAATCACTTGATCATGATTATTTGTAAATTCGGTCTACATGAAATCTTTTTCACACACGTGCACAAAGTAATGACAACGTCAAGTTCTTAGTAAAACTCGCAAAACAAACATGATGATCCATGCCTGAATTGCTTTCTATGAATAAATATATATCTAGTAATATATAATAAGCTATGTATACTTTTTTTTCCACATATACTTTAAACTTGACAGATAAATATGTCGTGGGAGATTCTAATCACAATAAAGTCTGTTTTATTAGGTTTAATATTTTGTCAAATTTTACTTTTGTGTTACTTAAAAATTAAATTCCTTGTTTCATGCACGTACTATCAGTCTGTTTTCATCTGTTGAACTGGTGGTTTGTTAACTCAAGTTTTGAAAACAACGTACTTAACTTCCCGTTATTAAGATTCATTCTGATGAATACACTTGTTCATCTGAGGTCACCAACCGTGATTGTTCTCGTAACTAGCTGCAAGGTCATTTCCTCGGTTGGTTTTTGGCTTCCTTCATGACATTATACACACGTACATATAAATGTGTAATTGGAAAGCATAGTTTAAAACCTAAGTTTGACGTCCGTAGAATACCGGCTCGGGCTAAAGCGATGTCTTTGAATATAGTTTTTGTATAGCGTTATGCCGTGTTAAGAGGGAGTTTTTGTTTTGTTCTTCCTTTGTGGCGCCTCCATGCGACGTGTTTCAATCAGCCATATAATTTTGCAGGTGAGAGGCATGACCGAAAACACACACACACTCACATACATACACGTTTAGTATATTTTTCTATATGGCTACCCACATTAATAAAACTGTAAAACACAATCCTGGCTTTCAAAAGTTTGTACCAGACACATCCCCCCGCCGCCTAAAGTAATTTACTGTTGTGGAACTTACACAAAATTTATGCAAATTGTTTAGGGCATGTACATAGGGGTTTTTCTTGTAGGCTTTGCTTATTACAGCAGCTTGATGATCGCAAATAATTAGGTAATTATTCATTATTATATGGATAATTATGGTAAATAGCCTACAGTAATTTGAGGGAATCTCATTTTTGTTCTCTTGTTAATTATTTGATGAAACTTTATGGTATAAGCTTGCCCATTTTTATTAATTAGACCAGCTTTCGCATAAAATTAGAACCAAGAATGAAGAATTATATTAGGCCCTATACCTTACCTCAGTTCACTGATTCATTGATAGTCTACTCTTTTATAGAAAGTTTCCTTACAAACAATACACTAGACCTACGAAACCGATGGTTACTAAACCTTAAATAAACTTTGCATGATTTTTCAAAAAATAAACATTGCACTCCTAAGTTACTTTGTAAACAGAGGGAGAACCGGTTCACAAAGTAAGCTTACAAATAAAATTATCAGAAGCTAGATCAAGTAGTGATTATTCAAGTCCACAGACTTTTTCGGCATAATTAAATACATATTTCTATTTTGCGGTTTTTGCAAGTTATGGATATTCTAATACTTTTATTGAAGTTTTATTTACCGCCATTATGATTACTTATTACCTTAAATATGACCTCGACTCGTGGAGCTAAACCCTTACCCTTTGCTGATAAGCTCGTTAATTAACACGTTTAAAGTATTATTTGACAATTTATTTTCAAAACAACTAACACTACCCATATTCTGATATTATACACAACCTCCCACTTTTCTTTAAATAGACTAAGTTGTAATTCAAATGTGGCTCCGCAAGGGGGCAAAATAATCTATTATGTTATCATTAAACAAAGTAATCTATTCTGTGACTATTAAACAAAGTAGTCTATTATGTTATCATTAAACAAAGTAATCTATTCTGTGACCATTAAACAAAGTAGTCTATTATGTTACCATTAAACAAAGTAATCTATTATGTTATCATTAAACAAGCTAATCTATTATGTTACCATTGAACAAACTAATCTATTATGTTACCATTAAACAAGCTAATCTATTATGTTATAATTAAACAAAATAATCTATTATGTTATTATTAAACAAAATAATCTATTATGTTATCATTAAACAAAATAATCTATTATGTTACCATTAAACATACTAATTTATTATGTTACCATTAAACAAACTAATCTATTATGTTACCATTATACAAACTAATCTATTATGTTACCATTAAATAAAATAATCTATTATGTTATTATTAAACAAACTAATCTAATATGTTATCAGTTTAATGATAACATAATAGATTAGTTTGTTTAATGATAACATAATAGATTATTTTATTTAATGGTAACATAATAGATTAGTTTGTTTAATGATAACATAATAGATTATTTTGTTTAACATAATAGATTATTTTGTTTAATGGTAACATAATAGATTAGTTTGTTTAATGATCACATAATAGATTATTTTGTTTAATGATAACATAATATATTATTTTGTTTATTGATAACATAATACATTAGTTTGTTTAATGATAACGTAATAGATTATTTTGTTTAATTATAACATAATAGATTATTTTGTTTAAAGATAACATAATAGATTAGTTTGTTTAATGATAACATAATAGATTATTTTGTTTAATGGTAACATAATAGATTATTTTGTTTAATGATAACATAATATATTATTTTTTATCATTAAACAAACTAATCTATTATGTTTTCATTAAACAATGATTCACTATTGAAGTGAAACTTTGCAACAGCGTCTCAGAGCAGTTCAATAATATGTACATTTTTAGGTCTTAATGTCTATAGTC